TCAGATAACAAACAAACACAAATCAAGAAGAACGAAGACACCTTCAATCGGCGCGGAAGCAGAGGATCGAAGATTATGCGCAGGCAACAATGGCGATTGATACCATGTTAACTATGATCAATCTTATACAGTAAGGAAGAATAAGAATGTAACAGACTTAGAGAGAGAGAGAGAGAGAGAAAGAACTTAGAGAGAAGATGAATATCACTGATATATTTTCTTAACTTCCAAGTAATACAGTGTTGAGGTATTTATAGTCTTGCACTTTACACAGCTAACTTCCTTAACTAACTTCTTTCTCTAATCTAATTACAAGTGGCAACATCTTATGCACCAATATCTAATATCTCTATTCTATCACTTATAATACATCTTAAAAAAAATTGAACAATATATTGATGCTAAAAAGCAATATCTAAATGAACTTTAAAACTAACTAACCATCCGTTTCTAAATATTATTATATGTAAAGAAAGCTACAAAGTAACCATAGTACTTATAACTACCAATAAGTTCAATCTAAAGAAACCAAAAAACTTAGAAAAGTCTAGCACTGAAGTTTCACTTAAAGATGGCTCTTTGTGCATTCTTTGTTGCAAAATCATCAATTAAACCTTCATAATCAAATTTGTCTAAAAAATCACTTTAAATCGATATCAGAGCAAGTCCATTTAACCTTTCCTGCAACATGGTTGACTGCAAGTAAGTATTGAGAAACTCCTTTCTGCAGATGCAATGGTAACAGGTACAATCAACAAAATTCTGTATGCAATCCTTGTAGTTGGGAAACAACGCATCATCTTCAAGTAGTTCAATATGTCAATAGATGTCTTTATTTCTTTTGGCAAACACTCTCATAATAGCTTCAACTCTACCAATAATGCATCCCCATCAACATAAAAGAGCTCATCTTTCTTTAGAAAGTTTTGAAGCCAATCACAACAATCTTTCAATTTATCATTGTCTATCAAATTAAACCGTTCTAAAGTGAACAAAAACCCAAATATATCATCATACGCTTGATATTCTTCAAACCTTCTCTTCCGTGAACTAATAGCTTGATCTATTATATACAAGAAGTAATGAATCCTAAAAGATTCCTCTGCTGATTGTTCAGTTGGTTGGGATGATTTTCCTTCATTCTCATCAAAATGTCTTTTTTCTACGAACTTGACGTTTTTCTGGAAACACAGGATCAATTTCCATTTGAATAGCAAGTTTTTTAGCATTAATCATAGCCTTCGCAAACTCAGTTTCTCTGTACTTTTCAAAATAAGCGATCAATCCTTGTACTTGTTCTATAGCAACATCAATAAGCATGTCTTTAGATTGCAAATCTTTGCTAACCTCATTAACAGTAGCCAATATTTCATACCAAATAGTCATGCCCAATAATAACTCAAAATTCCCAATGTCGTATTTTGCCAAAGACTTAGCTGCACTTCTTGTTACTAAGTCATTGTCACTTTCTGCTAATTGGAGTAAAGCTTTTTTTTATTTGCAGAGGTTAAGATTAAATTGCTTTAACACTTGCAACACGGCTTTCCCATCGTGTGGCCGACAATGATTTGAGAATCAGTCCTTTTATATATTCTTTCAAAACCAACCATCGTTATGTAGAATTTGTGAACAAGCTGTAAATATGTTGTACTGTTCCAAAGATGATTCTTTATCAATTGATCAGATTCAACCATCATTTGAACTAGGCCCATAAAATTTCCATTACTTTCTTGGTAAAGCGTATCTTTATTTTCACGAAAACCCAGTGTATGTTTTGCTAAATATTTCACAACGGAAATCAACCTTCGTAGTAACTCCCTCTAATGCTCTTTTTCTTTCTTGATCTGGTCTTGCACAACTTTGTCAATTGTTTTGTTTTTCTGCAATCTAAGACGCAAATCAATCTAAATGGTCATGTTCGAGATGTGATCAAAACTGTTTTCATGCTTTTTAAGCCTCACATTGAGATGTGTCCAATCTTGGTAGCCCTCATTTGATAATTGACCTTTGAGAGGCCATTTCTTGAACAATTTACAACAAAAGCAGAACACTTTATCAACATCCTTCGAATAGACTAGCCAATTTCTATCATGTTTCTCTTCATTGGATAAGTATCGAGGGTAAAAGGATGCATTAAAACGCCTATTAAACTGATCTTTAGAACCTTTCTCAATTGATAGATCTCTTGCAGGACCTTTTTCTGCCAACAAATCAATCCATTTGGGATCAAGACTATCTCAAATTTAAGGATCATAAATGTTTGAGGAAATGGCCTCACTCGGCTGATCAGTGACAATAGGAGCATCCTCATGATTATCATTTTCATCAGGGTCATCAATTTCATCATTGCCCAAATTATCAACTAATTTCTCATTATCATCCTGTTGTTCCGTAATTAAATCATCCATTGAACTTTGTGGTTCTTTTTCTTTCAAAAAGAACCTATCAATAGCTCACTTTTTAGATTGAGTCAATTGTTCAACTTTTCTTTTTCTTTGACGCTTCAAGTAGCTAGATGGATATTTTCTAGTAGGTGCCATCTTTTATATCTCAAATAAGATCACAATAAAATTATAGTAAGTATGAACAATGAAACCTGATAATCTGTAATGCGAGTGCGTCTAGTGATTTTTTGTGACTGCTCTTCTCTTGATTTTGCCCTGAAAAGTACATAAAAAAAATCATTATAGATGAGAAATACCCAAATCTTCAAATTTCAAGTCAATATACTCAAAATTATTAAATATCTTATTTTGATCGAAGTCTATATCACTTTGATCAGTTGAATTGTCTTCATGATTTAGAAGTTTCTCTTCAATTTCATAAATTTATAAATTAGGATTTAATAATTTGTGGAAAATATAACAATGGGACGAAGAGAGAATGGGAAGTACCGAAGTAGGTTGGGACATTGACGACAACGTCTGGAATTCTGACTTCTAGTGCTTTGGTAGTCTGGTGTGAAAGAAAAAAAAAATGGGAAGCAACAATTAGACTTTGGTGTGAGAAAGTCTGAGTCTCTGAATTGTTTGCCCTCGTCAGTGGAGTTCTCCACTTTTAATTGATTAGCTGTGCTCTTTTTTTTTTTTTGCTAGATTAGCTTTGCCCTTTGTTTATTATTATTTTATATAATTTGCGTACATATTTTAGGGAGTAGTCTAATGGCTTTTGGGGCCCATCATAGAGATATATATATATATATATATATATATATATATATATATATATATATATTTTTATTTGATTAGTATTTCTATATATTATTTTTATATAATATTATTTTATATATTATTATATTCAATAAAAAAATATTTTTGGGGGCCACCAAAATTTTGGGACCCTGTGCAATGGAACCTGTGGCACTCCCCAAAAGCCGGCTCTGAGTATTATTATATTATTAAAATAACAAAAGTTTGTGGTGTGCTGACAAAAACTGTATCAAGCACATAGGATGGGTCATGGGTGCTTTCTAAAGACAGAAGAACTCTGTCTCTGTCTGCCTCTCTTATTTTCTGTCTCATCAGTCATCTCTCTCGTATTATCTCTCAACCCATAAAGCACCTAACCCTTTATCTCTCTCTTATTTTCTATCTCATCTCTCTCATATTATATATCTTTCTCTCTACAACCCAAAAACCACCATACTCTTCCCTCATCTCAATCCAAAACCACCTAACCTAGAAACATCCCTTACTCACTCTCTCATTTCATTTTGGCTTTCTCATCTGCCTTCACTCAGTCTCAGACTCTGTCTCTCTCTCTCCCTCCCTCTCTCTCTCTTGGATTCGAAGCTCAGCAACGATCCACATTCTAACAATCTCACTTTAACGAACTCTCTTCACTTTGGCCACCACCACACCTCACGACTTCATCCCCACCTTCGGTTCTCTCCAACGATTCTCTGTGTGTGTGCGATTTCAAATTGGGGCTTAGGGTTTCAAATTGGGAGCTCGGGTTAGGAGGAGGACGCATGTCTATCTCTTCACTCCATGTCTTTCTCTCTCTTTCTCAACCATCAATCTTCACTGATTCACTGTCACTTTATCTCTGATTTCAATTTGGATTTTTAATGCAGGTTCGGATGATTTCAATTTCAATCTAGAAGTAATAAAATAATCAATATCTGAAGATTGAGAATAACCTACATTCACATTGCACAAAATTTGATAGAAAAGGGGACAAATTAATATTTAAAATAAGTATTAAGATGCAAATATTCTCAAGATACATTAAGCAGAAAAATGAATACATTTTACCAATTGTCAGACATTGCTAATTGCCAATATAGCAAGATAATGAATTTCGTGAACGAAAAAAATAATTTGCAACTTCAATTTACCATGCCAAAGAAGCTCTATAAGAGTAGTAGCTTCCTCCTTACTTCAAGCATCCGTTGATCATGGAAATTATAAAAATCCATCCAATCAAGAGACAATGTAAAAGTTGTAAGAAGGTGAATATGCAACAATGAATCTAAGATAATACCTGACAAATTTGCGATTCCATTATAATTTCAAACAAAAAAAGACCAAATTTTGATTCAAACAAAACAATCTCATCTGTTACAGATCGGACCAACAAAAAAAAGAATCTATTAACATGATTGTCAGCCTAACTATAAAAAGGAGCTTTATAACAGCACAATCAATATCATTTCAACCCAACCAAAAAGAAACTAATTGTATGTCATAAGTTTGTAAACACGGAGAAAATGTATCATATTTCATGATTAATCAAAAGCTTACAAATGTGAGGTAAGAACATACTTAGGGTTGGTTTGGTATTGCTGTGCTTTGAAAAAAAGCTGCTGTGAGAATAAGCGGCTGTGAAATAAATCAGCAGAGTGTTTGGTAAACTTTTTTGTAAAAGTGATTTTGGAAAAAAAAACAGTCTAATAGTGGGTCTTTTCATTAAAGAAGCACTGTAGCTCCGTGTGCTTTGAAAAAAAGCCAGTTTTCCAAAGCTGCAAATAGCAGCTTCAGCTTTTTCCTTTGATTTTAGCTTATTCTCACAGTAGCTTCCAAAATAAGCCTTTTTTTTTTTCAGTTTACCAAACACCTAAAACCCTCATAACTTTTTTTCATGAGTGCTTTTTTTTAAGCACCTCACTCCCAAACTAGGTCTTAAAGTTCAAATGCAAAAATGCAAATGAAGACAATTCACTCCATTGTGTTCAGCAAGGGAATAAAATGTGACGAAAATAGTATGATTTAGTGATTCGTACCTTTAACTTGATCTAATGGCAAGGCATTGAATGTTGACTGAACAAAATTTTGCAAGTAATGAGGTTGCGTAAAAACTCACCTGAAAAGTTAAACCCACCATTATATGAAGGTAAATAAGGAAAATCCAATCCAATAATCACAGCAATCTGAGAAGTGTATTTTAGTTTAGAGAACATGCATGTATTTTCTAATAGCGAAAACATGAGCAAATATGATTGGGTCGTACTCAAGGATCAAATGGGGACTTGAGATTTTGGTAACTGTGTAGGTGAAAAAGAACACCAATGGAACAATCCTAGAAACTAACCCTCATACACATCCAAAGCAGATCAACTAATCAACCAAATTAGCCCAATCAATAACCCTAAATTTAATGAACCAAATTTGCCCAATCAATAATCCTTAAGGATAAGATTATTTTTTACCTTACATAAATTCACATGCTAGTCATTTGATACACTTGACTAATTCTGCAAGTTGTATTTCTGTAAATGGGAATGAAAATGTAACTTTTGGTCATTTATTTCATTCCAAAGAAATTTTTTGTTTGGACAGATATTCGAACACAATACTTTCTGATTGACACTCACTTAGACACCTTAGAAGAACTCACGTTTCTCTACATGAAAAGGAGTTCAAGGATATGAAAAAACTACTGAATACCAAAAGCATAAACCACACTCAATACAATCAATAACTAAACTAACAACATATTCAACAATTTATCAAAAACACCATCAAATTAAACACCTTTAAACCATAAAAACCAAAGGAAGAAACCATATAATTAATAAGTGATGAGTGCAAACTTTTTGGTATTCAGGGCACCAATTATCCTAACAGATAACGCATTTTGGTCCTCCTCCTTTGCCATTTCCTCCTCATCCCCTGAATCCTCGTCACCTGCACGTTCCAACGCCATCTCGAGAAGCGCCTTAGCAAACACCGGGGAGAAAAAACTAATTAATTTATTTAAAACAAATATTAGTGCACTACAGAAATATATCATCTATAATAAGCAAACACACGAATGCCTGAAAACACTAACAGTCTAATATATCCTTGCATTTCAATTTGAATTCAGAATACGTGGAAATCACATCAACAAACCAAAGCCCTAAATTTTTATCATCCTGAACGGGAAAAATCTGTAAAATCTAAAATCTTTTGCCGCATCAAAATAATTGCAAATTAACCCCCCCCCCATTCTCTCAGCTGATAATCAAAACCAAATTAGTAAATTACTTAGCTAAAAGCCTTTTTTCAACGAAAACGCGAAAGGCAAGCCTGAGTCCCTAATAATCCAAAATCACATCAAATGGAGAAAAATGATATATAAGAATCAAATACTCATATATTAATAGAGATTTTTTCCTTAATTGATCTAATTATAGGTCGTACCCAGTGCACAAGGCTCCCGCTTTACGCAGGGTCTGGGAGAGGTGAATGTCGGCTAGCCTTACCCCCATTTATGGAGAGACTGCTCCCAAGTCTCGAACCCGAGACCTACCGCTCATGGGCGAAGGTGCGACCTCTATCTAATTATAGAAATAAAAAAAAATTTGATCAAGAAAACCAAGAGCCAGATACAATTTTGATGCAAAGAAAGCAAGATTAGAATACCAAGAGCCTGTTGGGACTTAAAAAGGCTTCACTACTTTGGAGATGTTTATCTCACAAAGAAGAATGAAATGCAGCGGAATTGATAGGCAAGAGAAAGAACACTCAAAGTGTTATACAAAAATTTTTATTCTCACACAAACTTAGTACAAGAGGAAACACTCAAACACTCTCACTCTTATTGCTCTCTTACTTGCTCTCACTTCTTCTTAGTTCTTACTTCACAACACACACACACACCTATATTTATAGGCATACTTTGCCGACTTCAATGATGCTAGAATTTTCTAGCATATTATTATACACACACAAGTTTACAATCAGCTAGACCTTTCTAGCATGCACACCGACATTGTTTTTCATAATGTCCTCATAATTTTCTAGAACTTTCAAGTGCATGATTCATGCACATCCCACCGACTTACATAGCTGAAATTTTAATATGCATGCATTTCACCTGCTTTTGCTAGAATTATCTAGCATTTGCATGAACCATCAATTAGCTTGTGTTGCCTTTTCAGCATGGGCTGGACTCGGCCCAAGACTGGATTAGAATTCAACAGAGCCAGATTATGCTATTAAATCAGAGAAAACTGAGATGCAATCGAAGATAAACAAAACTAATCCAAGAAAACAAACCAAAACCCTTACCGTTTGAGAGAAATTGGGATAGAACATCGTAGAGAGAAAGCAAGCGAAGAGATATACCTGGTTGGCTCTGGTTGGAATTGCTGGCGATGAATGTTTGAAGAGAAGCTTTACCTTTCACTCGCTTTTGATTCCTGTAGCCACAACAGACATATGGCTTGTGGCAATTTCCAAAGGGAATATCGAATTCAAAATTCAACAACCTAAACCATAATTAACTCACAATGTAGTTCCATCAATATGATAGACATACCAAGCTGTCAACAGACTAAGAAAAGTAAACATAAACCCTCCTTAGAAATAACCCAATGGTAGGATTATGTAGTCCGACTACTGAACTAAAAAAGAAAAAATTCAAGTGATCAAATAGTTGCCAGATTCAGCCATTTAGTGTCTCAACTCCGTATCGGTATGTCCGTAACGATACTTTGACGGTTCGGTTGTGAATTTGGTGTCTCTAACCAGATTAGACAAAACTTGATCAAAGAACTGAAAAAACGCACCTGGGTCACCGTAAAATTCGCCGATGTCGTCCTTGTAGTTGTCGGGGAGACTTTCTGAAGAACAGAGGTGACTTTGTCACCCCCTCGAGAAGAGCATCATACTGGGCAGGTTCCTATTCGTCCTTGTGTTTGTCGGTGAAGGAAAAAAGGAGAGGTCGGGGAAAGAGAAGAAGGGGGAGAGAGAGGAGGGAGGGACAAAGAACTGGGATGCGACGGTGAGAATTGAGAAGAAATAACAAAGGGAAAGGAAAAGAAACATCTACAAATAAAATAATTATTTGTTTAATGAATGTTTAAGAAAAAATATTAAAGAGATAAATGATGATTACGCGAAGAAATAACCAAGGGAAATGATAAGTCTTTGGTATCCGAGTCATTTTAATTTTAATTCCTATCTATTCATAATAAGTAATATTATAAAATATAATTATAAATGTATTATTATCAATATTTCTATATACAAATTAATTTACATTCTTTAACGAATTTAAAACGAATTGAACTGAAAACCGTACTGTCTATGCCTATTTTCTGGCGAATAATACTTTATGTTACTACCGAATTCTGTATCTGAACCGAACTGAAAACTCGAATCTCGATTCGTACCTGTATCTGGCAACTATGAATCAAAGCTAATTTAGAGCTTTCTTCGCTCCCAAACATAACAAGAATAAGAACGCGCATCATCAATTTCAAGAAATTCACAAAAAGAGAGAAAGAAAGGGATAGAGAAGTACAAACCTCAGATTGACTGGCCTCGATCCTCTGGATTCCCTCATTATCATAGCAGAAATCGACAAAAGCATATATACAATGACATTTTTTCAGCTAGTGGTTGGACCACGTTAATTACCTACCATAAACGGAGAAACAATTTGGTATAAGAATCTCATTCTACAAAACTTCTTCAGTCTGGGCCTAAACAATGCAAGCAAAAAAATCCCCAAATACGTACTTTCATCCAAATCATCCACCGCCATTAACAAAGCCACACCCCATATCTTCCTTTAGCTAAAATTAAAAGAGTGAACTTATCACCCAAATAAAATAGGTGGATTATGTTCAAAAGTGGAGGAAAGCAACAAAACCAATCACACAACGAATTGTCAATAGAATAAAACAACAAATATATATATATATATATATATATAATATATATATATATATATATATATATATATATCTGAATCAAAGATTATTTATTTATTTATTTATATATTAACAAAGCCACACCCTATATATCTAACTCGAAAATGGTTAGCCACTTTCAAGCTGTTTTTCGGCCAAACCACGGTGAATCAGTAGTCAAGAAAGGTACCATTCTCTTTGTCTCGTTGAGAAGTATGATTTTCGTTTTTGAATCACTCGATTTCGTTGAGTATTAAAGAAGTTATGAATGTTTAAAGTTTACCCAGTTTCCGGTGAGTTTTCCAGTTTTCTTGCGGATCAGTCACCTTTGAGGCTATTTTACAGCCATCTCCAGCAATCATTGGGCTTCCAAATAGGTATAATCTTGTTCTACACTTTTCTATCTTTATTTTGATATATTATGGGTCGAACTTGGTTAAGAAACGATTAAGTTACGAAACTTTGAAAATTGCCCAAAGAGTTTTTAACGGAATGACCAAAATGATGGATGATGGACAATCTCAGGAACCATTTCTATTGATTTTCAATCTCAGGGACCAAAGTGATGTGTTATTCAAATTTCAATGACCATTTTGGCTATTTTGCCTTCGCAATATGAAGGGGATCTAAAGATGAGTGTTGAGGGGTTGGGGCCGACTGATTTGCAGAGGTTCTGTAAAGGGTAAGGATTTGCAAATCCCTGAAATCCCTTTCTCTCTCGCTTTGTCTCCGTCCCTCTCTCCCTCTCTCTCTATCTCTATCTCAGAGGCAGAATGGCCTTTTGTTTGCTCGACAATCCCTTCACCATCAATCCCAATCAGTCCCAACAATTAAGATGATAAAAGTACCCTCCAAACTTTTAATCTTGGCCATCCGATCTTAACCCTAGATGGGCATTTATTAGACGATATGGGATATTGGATGACTAATACACCCATGTTGCCATGCTACCAGATTTTACATTTCCTCTTCCCATGAGATTCTCTATTAAGCCTAATCCCTTAATTTGAGGAAGATTGACATCTAGATGACTTGTTGATAGTTGTGTGCTAGCTACTTGCTGCACTCTCTTAATTTAAGGAGTGACAGCTTTAGGGTTTATTGGGTTAGTAGGATCTGCCAAGGTAGGGTTGCTTGTAACCTTCTACCTTATTATGTATCCCCTCTTGTACATTCAATTAATCTATGAAAAACACATTCAAACAAACTTAAAACTTCCATAGCATTCCCATCATTTGAACACCCAAAGGGCCGGCCTCATCAACAATTGAGGTAAGCCTAGCAAACACAACAGAAAATGAACTAACCTAACCGCTAAAGCAGTGGCAGAGAGACTCAGTGGCACTTTTGTAGATAAAATAAAATTCGGCTCAAGTCACTATTCATTTGTACAGTGCAATTTCTCCCCCTTCTTTAGGCTAAAGTAATGTTTACATGTTGTCTTGAGTTTGAATTCTAAACCAATTCTGATTGTGGTTAAAGAATACTATATAAGAACTTGGCCACTACTCTTGCAATTCCTTGGCTCATTGAGATTTCAAGTCCTATTCTTTGAAGAGCTTTTTTGTAATGCTAAAGAGGAGAAGGTTATAGTTCTTGAAGCTACAATGGCTTCATCATTTGGATCAAATTCTGCAGGTTGGTATTGCAGCTTTAATAACAGGGTTTTAATCAGAGCTGCAGGTTCTAATCATTGAATTCAATTCATCGATACATGAATTATATTTGGAGATTGGAATCTGGGTTTTATATTTGTGGTCTTCAAATTGAATAAAAAAAAACTGCTCTAAACGGCACCGTTTCACTAAAGAGCAGTTAACACTATCGTTGGGTTCTTTTTAAACAATATGACCGTTAGAAGTTTGGGTTTTGTTTTTAGGTTTTCTTTATTATTTGAAAGATCTCGTTTTTTTCCTCCTCTTCTCTCTTAATCGTTGTTCTAATTCGAGTTTTGATGCTAATACTAAAAACTATAACAAAATTGATCAAGAGAGGATATGTTTCCTTTTCCTTAGACGTTAAATATACTTGATACTGACAACAATATTAGGATGATGTAATTAATTTCTATATTTTGATTCTTCCTATATGTTGTTGAATCAAATCGATAAATAATTTCTGCAGTTGTTATAGCACTTCCGCTGCTATATGAATTAACATGGAGTTGTAATCCCTTTTGAATGCATGTGTTATCGGTGCTTTTTTCTTTTTTTTTTAATTTTATTTTTTATTTTTAGCTTTTGTGTTAATGAAAATTCTGCAGCATCAAATTTAAAGAACTGATGATTTGTATTTGATCGACAAAGTCAATCTTGAGTTGTTTAATCTATATATGTCTTTAGTAATAAAGGCTGTATGTATGATTAAGTTGATTAAATAGCCTTAATTTATGGTGAAAAAGACAGAAATCAGGGATCTTTAACATATTCAAAGTTCTGATTTCATTGATGTCTTATGCAATTTCACTAAAGTCAATCAATGAAACAACAGTGCCAATTCTCAATGGTGGGAGCAATGATAAGAAATGGCATCGAGAGAGAGAATTGCTTTTGACATTGAATGAGTATGACATTGCTCTTGACACTCCAAGACCTAAGGCATTGACTGACAAGAGCACAAATGTTGAAATGGCTGATTTTGAGAGATGGACTAGAGCTAATAAGGTGGCTCTATCCATTCTTGAAAGTGGCATGACAGATACAGTGCGTGGTGGAATCTATTAACTACATTGCAAAAGATGAATTGGTACAGAGGAAGATGAAGATGATAGAGAGAAACAAGAGAGATTGTAGAGGAAAATGAAGGCTCTTGAATTGATTGATGTTATCTGTTACAATAGCCTTGCTATATATCCATAACCCAACACACTTAAACCTAACAAACTTCTAACAAAGCTAACAACTCAATACATCAAATGATGCCATCTGTCCATTGCATCCAACATACACATGTCACTTGATACTCCTTCTCAATCGCAACTAGCCTAGTTTGAGATTGGTCAAACATCTGCAATTACTGTTATAAAGCTAAACACTGCAGAAAACCCCAAACCCGTCTCTTATAGTTTGGAGTAGTGTATGATAGTCTGGAGTTGTTGACATTAATGAGCAGGACAACTGTGTTGTATATGGACAACCCCGCTATCTCGAAGGATAAAGTGATCCACAATTGAATGTTCATTCCCACACCTTTGATACAAGTTCCACTTTTAATGCTGATAGTAACCATTTATGATCAATTTGATGATCCAACATTGTAGCATTTTTAACTAGAGTCACCAACTTTATATTAACCTACTGCAAACAAGAAAGCACCCATAAAACCTATCACCAAATCTTTTAGCTTTCCCAGAGCCCTGAATATGCCTAACATAACAGCTAATACAATTGGTACTGTTGGGACAAGTACACACACAACAAGCTTGCTGGAACAAAAGCAACAAGTAACTCTATGCATTTTACTACTGCTGAAGCTAAACTGCAATCCCATAAAGGCCTTAACCCATCGAAAACATATCAAATGGGATTGTCAGGTTCCACGACTAAAGCTCCAGTGATCGCCCAAAAAAAAAACTATACTGAAGCTTAGTGATAGTATGGTAAGAGCCGTTGTGGTTGCTGCTAGGGCACACATTGCTTTTCCTTCGGATGTTGCATCATTTCTCAAGGCTGCTGAGGCAAAGAATGATGTCCATATCATGCTTACAGTTGGTTTTTCTACCCAATCGGTTAAACCTGGTAGCATGTCTACCTACTCAGAACTTCCTCATAATGTACATATACTGCGTAGCAGCTCGGTTGCCATGACACCTTTGTGACTGCTGACCAAAAAAGAGCTTTTGCAACTTCTTAAAGAGTTGGGAAACAAACCAAAACCTTTGCTCACTCCATTATCATCACACAAGACTACAACTTTAGCCGTTGTGAAGCCATGATGAAAGACACAAGTACAATCCATAAATCAAAACAGATGAATTCTTCTAGGCAGCAAAAGAATGACACTCTTGACACAAATGCTAAGGCAACAAGAAAATGACACTCTTGACAAATTCTAAAGCAACAAGATAATGATACTCTTGACAAATTCTATCAAATCAAAGAAAGAATGATACTTTCTTAACCAT